GAAATCTTCTAATGAAAACCGAGCACTCTGATTTCTGAATAGTTGTCTGCGTTACTTGAGATTAATGTAACATGTTTATGGTCGTAGCAGATTGTAAATCAAGCAGATGCTTACGAAGTTTATTGACATTGAGTCCTCACCGAAGAAAGAAATGGAAGTGGTTTCTGCTTATGAAAATCTCATGAAATTTTGCAAACCTGTTAAACTATACAAAATTCTTCATGCTCGCTCACTAAAGCACGTATGGATCCTCCTTTTTTTTTTCTTCTTTACATTTACTTATTTCTACGTGATAACCAATTTAATTAAGTGTTTAGATTTAGTGAGTTTTGGTAGATGGATTTTTTTTTTTCTGAAAAAAATATTTTGATTTGGCAGATGTTTAGTAAAATTTAGTGTTATTGGTTTGATGATTTTTACATTCCAATCAACATCATTTATCGTTTAGTCTCATTGTTCTTGTAAATTTATTAAAATCTAATGTTATTAGAATGTAAAGCTTTTACAAACACAATTTTAAGAATACCGTGGATATCTATCTGATTTTTAAAATTTATAATAATTATATTTTTTTTTAATCAACTTCCACCGACCCCGACAAAATGTTTTGTTGTTCTCTCAGTTTTAATTATTGTTATTATTAATTTGTTTTTTTTTTTGTTTATGTAGCCAATTTTTCTTCCAAGGTGTTTGAACTACAACATCAGAGCAAAGCGCAAAAAGAAGTATATATCTCTTCTTTGATGTTACTTAAGTCATTTTTCTCTTTGTTTCGGAATAGATTGCATGACTTGTTCTCTCCTCATGATCATACACTTATAGTTTGCATGTCAAGAGTAGTGAAGATGAAGAGAGTGATAAACCGAATCCAAGTGGAATAATAGTTTTCAACTATATGGGTTCTACAGAAACAAAAATAATATCTGAATGTGAGTCTTTAATTAGCTAGCTATTTTCTTTCAGAATCTTGTTGTCTCTCTCTCTATGTTTCTTCTAAACAGTTTATTATGATCAACATTAATTTTTTCTGTATTAAAATGCAGTTGTGAAGAACTTTAGTTGCCCATTTTGCTCAATGCCATGTGGTGACCGACATGTGGGTGCTTATTAGAATCAAGCTCTTTTCTAACAATGTGTATTCACATTTCTTACAAAACACAATCAAATTACAATGTCTTATGCATGTGCAGGGAATACTTCATCATTTGTTGTCATCACATGACATTTTTGATTATAAGTTTTGGGTATGTTGTTTTCAAAGGATCTACATAATTTTGTAAAAATGTTTTGTCATAAAGTTTAAAGTAACACGAGTACTCTCTTTGCCTTTTTTTAGTACCCGGCGAAAAATCATCCACAAGTTGATGTCTTCCTGAAACCTGATGCATTCGAATTTTGGGTTAGTAAGAAGACTTGATAAGTATGCAACATTTTCAGATTATTCATGTTTGGTAGAATTTTGAACTCTCCACCATAATGTTTTTTGTATCAGGAAAAAGAAAATGATAATGCAAAAATGTACAAGAAGATCCCTTTTGGTTTTTGGTAAACTTTTCGAACACCTTACTCTACTTTTTAGCTATGATTGAGCACCATTTGCTTAGAGTCAAAATCATAATTTATGCAGCTCGAAACGTCGCAAGATAAGACAAAGACGTGCTCGTAAAAACATGAAGCAACCTAATGAAGACTCTATGGAGTTGGATTTAGGTGATTCACCTCATGCCGCAGAAAATAAATTGTCTAATGTGAAGGATGGTAACATGAGGCGACCTAATGTAGATTCTTTGGAGTTGGATTTAAATGAATTACCTCATGTCACAGAAAATGAATTGTCTAATGTGAACAATGGTAAAATCTCTCCCGAAAAGACTAGCGAGATTCAAACTACTAATGAACCAGGAATAGGTAAGTCTTCTATACCTAAGAAAGTGCTTCTTGCTACTAGGAGAAGAAAGTTAGCTGCAGAGCGGTCCGAGGATAAAAGGTTATGTTCTTGTGATATTTTGGTCTCCTACTGTATAATTTTTTTTTCTAGTACTGATTTTGTTAATATGAATTGTTTCCAGAGTTACGCGTCTTCAGAGTAGGCCGTTTTATCACTCTCAAAATGCTCAGGTGGTTTAGTTTCCTTCAAGTCTTTGATTCTATGTTCAATGTTGTCTATGTTTTATATAACTAACCAAAGTTGGATAATGAAGCCAATGAGTCTTAAAGAAGTATTGTCTGATGCGGATAGCGAAGGTGAACCTGATGATGATGATGCAAATCTCAAAGAACGTCTGGTATTAATTTTTTTCATTGTTTCTTTCAAATTTTCATTTAATTGTTATGAAAGATCAAACACCGTATAACTTACACCAAAGAGCTTTCTTCTTCTTTTTGAAAATTCACAGTGGTTAAATCAGTTGGTGAATGTTAGCGATGAGGACAAGCAATTTATGCATCTTTGGAACAAATTTGTAAGAAAGCAAAGGTAAATTCATTCTACTTGCATCTTGTATTTTACTTCATGTGTTTTGTGGAATCCGGATCTTGTTCAGTTTTGTGGAACTCGAAATGTAGTTGGGAATCGCTATATTGTTAGATGGTTTTTCGAGTTCTAAATTCGAATATGTTACAACTTGGATTTCGCATTGATTACTTTTGGGGCAGGGTGATTGCAGATGGACATGTTCCTTGGGCATGTGAAGAGTTTACCAAACTCTACGGGAAAGATTTGAACGGTTCGCAATCTTTCTTCTGGTAACAATCTTCCATCTACTCATAATCATATGATGCCAATATGTTTGTTGTAGCATCATCACATAATTGTTTGATGCGTTGGGTGCTTTGTGAGCAGGCAGTGGAAACAATTTCAGATACATCTGTGGAACCACGGTCTTATCTGCGGAAAAACCATCGACAAATGCACTACCATCCTCGAGAACTCAAA